CAGAGGAGAAAGTGAGGCTGGTGACCTGGCCCAGCCCTCCCTCACTTAAGTCATGGCATCATCTTCCTGATGTCACGGTCTTCTTCTAGAACCAAAGACAAACGACAACTGTGTCCAGTATTCAATATTTACTGAGAGGACTTTATTCAAAGTGGAAACAGGGTATTTTACACTACTGACACTAGGATGGGTAATAATAACAATGATATGTTTGTCATAATGGCCTTGGAGCCATGAAGACTTGGGTTCACTGCTAGACACATGACTGGCTATGAAACCCTGGAAAAGTAAAAAAAATTTTAAAAAAGTCAATTCCCTAAGACTATAATTTGCATAGAAGGTACTGACTTGCACTGATAGAATTCCCTCACCTAGGTGCTCCCTATACCAGTGAAATCACCCATCCAGACTCTGTTCCTATCCTGTTTTTCAAACTTACAATATAATAACAAGTCCAAGTTCAAATCACTGCCTCTATTTCTAACCAGTCTAAAAGCTGTAGTTTCAGGGAGCGTACTTTGAAAAGGAATGAAGGGGTGTCAGCGAATTTTCTTTCTCCCTTTGAAAAGCTACATCTTTCAAAAGAAATGTCTGGCTGTAGGGCTCATTACCCAGCTATTAGAATAGGAAATGCAGCAAAGTGGAACCTTCCCACAATGAGAGAAAAGTTGCAGCTTGGGCCAGAGTGGGGACTCACTTGTCAGTGGGAATGAAAAGGTCATTCATCTCTGCTTTCCTTAGGCCCTGAATTTTCTTCCCCAGTCATTACCAACACTCACATTGAGTGGCAGTTGTGGGTGGTTGAATAAGCCTCTTTTTTAACGACACCTCTGTACCAGCTCATGGTATTTCTGCCCAGGTCTCTGACAGGGATATTACTGGTGTGTAAGATCGGCCTTTGTCTATATTACTCCCTCTCCACTCTTCCTGCCTCAGCCTGTGTAAGTTCAGAGTCTTGCCAGCATTTAGCCATCCTAAGGAATGGTTGCTGAGATACAGGAGGCTGGCACCCTACAGTGTGCCTCCCTAGTTTAAGCTACCACCCCCACCTTTTCTCATAATTGGGGCTTAATTTGTGTACTTTTTACATTTAAACTGTAAATTGGAAAATGAATAGAAAAGGAACATTTCTCACAGCCCCAAAGCAGCAATCAAGCTGTTCTGAACAATCTGCTCTGCATAAAACTGTACTTTTTGCCAAGTGGAATTTATAAGCAAGCTTTGAGGATCTTCATTAGTACAAATCACTTATAAACCAAACCTCAGGACTATTGGTTCACATGTAAATCAGAAATAAAAGAACTGGAAATTTAAGCCAATCTATGGCTCTGGAAAAAGGAAATGACAATGAAAGGAATTTCAGGAGAGTAGGAAAAGGGGGAAGGGAGGGGTTTGAAACTGTTCTCCATTCATTGGGTTGAGGTCAGATCTCACATTAAAGAATAATCCCCACTGCTGTCCAAAGCTTTGAAATCCAAAACTGGATTTTTCCCCCTACTTTGAAATAAAGATTTTGTATCATTTTTCCCTCTCCCAGTCTTTATTCAAAGATGCCTTAGATAGAGGCTCTTACTCCTTTGCAAACACTATGACTTTTACTTCTCTCTTGGCAATAATTTTAATTTGCAGATCAAAGTCCACAGGGAGGAGAAGGTGGGGCAGGGAAAGAGCAATTATTTAAGGTGAAAAGAAATCAAGATACCGCTAACAACCAGCTTTGGAAAATCATTTTAAATAGTCTAGTGAGACCAAAAGCTGGTTTGGGGGCCGTTGGCAATTCAAGTCTGACGAACAAGCAGTCCTAGTCCAAATGTACGCTTAGCACACAGTCATTCACCTTCTCAGAGGCATCCATTTTATTATAGTTTCCTATCTATTTTATATCCCCTTATCTGTGGACATACTGTTTCCCTCCAATAGAATAGAAGCTCTTTAAGGTTAGGAATTGATTGATTGATTGTCACTGTATCCTTCATGCCTAACATTGTGCCTAACTTCATATATACTTGTTGAATTGAATTGACTGGTGGAAGAGATGTGAAAAACCCCAGTTAGGCGGTTAGCACCAGTGGCCATTTTTCTTGACCTTTAGGATTATCCATTCCACTTATCTCCTCCTCTACTTGCAGGGATTGGAGAAATGAGTCAGCTCTCCTACAAAGATAATCTGAAATATTAAAGTTTAAAATGTCATATGACTATGACATGTTAACAATTAACTCTCTAATTAAAACTTTCTGACTGCAATTATAATTGCCCTAATTTATTGACTGATTTCTATTTTTGTCAATCTAATTCAAAAAACATTTATTAAGTACCTATGTGCCAGGCACTGTGCTAGGCATGACAGTCCCTGTATTCAAGGAGCTAACCTTGGAGGGAGGCAGAGGGGTGGGGAGTAAGGAGAGAAAGAGAGGGAAGAAACCACCACACATACAGAGACAAAGCAAATACAAAATATTTTTAAAATAAACACAAAGTTGGCTTTTCTAAGTGACATTTGAGCATTAAAGGGAGTTAGGGGTTCCAAGATGTGGATGTTAAGGGTGGGGGAAGGGGAATTCCAGTAATGGGACACAGCCTATAAAAAAAGCATAGAGGTAGGAAATGAAATTTCAGGTTTAGGAGCATCTAGGAGGCCCTTGTGGCTGGAAATACAGTACATGTGGAGAATAATGTCTAATTATCCTGGAAAGACATATCAGAACCAGACTGTGATAAGCTCTAATGCCAAACAGAGGAGTTTGTATTTATACTAGAACAGGGAGCTGCCAAAGCTTTTTGAGCAGGTGCACGACATGGTCAGACTTGTATTTTCAAAATACCAAGTTGGCGGTGATATGGAAGGTGAAGTATATTATCAAATGACTGGAAGTAGGGATCTCACTTGGCCACTGGAATAGTCTGGAGAAATAGGATAAGGGCTTGTACATGTTTGTTGTTCAGTCATGTTAGACTCTTTGTGACTCCATGGACTTGGGCTTTTCTTGGCAAAGGTACTAGAGTGGTTTGCCATTTCCTTCTCCAGTATGGCCCCATTTTACAGATGATGAACTGAGGTAAAGAGAGGTTAAGTGACTTGCCTAAGGTCACACAGCTAGTAAGTATCTGAGGCCATGTTTGAACTCAGATCTTCCTGACTGCAGGCCTGGTGCTCTATCAATACTGCACCACCTAGCTGCCCCTTATACGTGTTGTACATGATAGAAAAGTAAGATACTTGAAAGCAGGGGCTGTCATGTTTGTCTTTGTATACACGACTGGCTTAGTATGTAGTAGTTGCTCAATAAGTGCTTATTTAATTAGATATTGGGAGGGTGAATAGTCAAGGATGACTCTGTGGCTGGGAACCTGAAGGGTTCAGGAAGGGTGATGATACCCTGATAGAAACAAGGACATTAGGAGGAGGAGTGGGTTTTGGGGAATGCACTGAATTTTGGGTGTCTATAGGACATTTCAAGTGGGGATATACAGCAGGCAGTTGGAGCTCAGGAAACAAATCCAGTTATGTAGATTTGAGAGTCCTCAGCATAGAGATCATAGTTGAACCCAAGGTAGCTGAGATATATCATAAATACAGGTTCTTAAAGTTACAACAGACTTCTGTAAGGCAAATTCTACTTTGCTATTGACTTATTTATTTATTTTTATTTAAGTGAGCTGTCCTCCTCAGACTGTGAACCTGGGTTTAGATGTTTAACCTCTCAAGGTCATAGGCAAGACTCTAGGACTATAAAGTTGCAAACAAAGGACCAACCTGCATTGGTAGAGAGTTCTCTCTGCTAGGAATTCCCTACAACAATGAAACATAAGTCCAAAGTTGACCCTTCGATTTTTTTGGGGGGGTGGCAATTATTTGATAGGTGTTTCAGTGAACTCCAAACTCATTTCAAGTGCCAAAGGGGGAAAAAAGAGGCAGCTACTGTAATCTTAGAATGTGTTGAAAGGTTGCTTTCGGGGCCAGACCCACAGCTGGCAGAAGGGAGCAATCAACCTAGCCCATCCCAGGAAGTGGCCTACGGAAAGGGTGGAACAGGGCAGGCAGCACCCCTCTTCCTCGAGAAGAGCTGCCCCTAGGGTTGACCTGGGTCTTGGGGCAAGGCAAAGAGGCAGAAGTGCTCCTTGGTCAGCCAACCTCTGAAGCCCCTTTCAATGCCTAATTTCTCCAATGATAGACTGTCGGGGAAAAAACCCTGACTAATTCTGAGTTGTCCAGAGAAGAGAATTCTTAGGGCCTTGTGAGACATACCAAGTTGCCACTTACTGAAGGTTTTCACGTTAAACTTGCAGGCCCTACAGGTAGGACCATCCAGTCAAATTTTCTTTCTTTCTTTCTTTCTTTTTTTTTACAGGGGAGAAAACCAAGCTTAAAAGGAGATAAAGGGATTTACCACCCAAGGTTACTGAGGAAGCAACTAAGGCAAAGCCCTTTCTGCCAACCCAAGATCATCTGTGGACAGCTTTGGGGATGAAAACTCTAACCTTCTTATAAATACATTATAATTTCAAAAATACATTGTCTTTGGTTCTGATAGCACTTCAAAGAACATTGTCTTCTAACACTTAAAAGCTAAGTTTCCTTTCCAAATCATGACTGCCCTAAATTGGGAGAGATGCCCATACAATTTCACTGAACAAATAATATGTATTTTACCTTTCAAGAACTACAGCTACTCAAATTGTTATAATCACTGTATACAGGGACTCTTCTTGGGAAGCAGTGGATTTAAAATGGGCATTTTCTATAGGTTTTTCACAATGGTGACATTTTTAGGTAGTAATTAAAAATTCAATAGAAGAATTTGCTGAATTGTAGCATGTTTATTTCTAATACTCTATTTTAGCATATGGGAAATCCTTCCTCAGCTGGGAATAATCTATAGTCTTTCAAATACTAAGTATTCTAAGAAATGCATTATGGGGAAGAAAGAAGAAGCAAGTTATAACACTTTATCATGGAGCAGAAATACGCAGAATGTTTCATTGAAGTACACCAGACGGAAAAGAGGAAGTATTGTTTAATTTACTCCAGAATAAAAACATTCCAAACAGTTTCAAATGCCCCCCTAGAATGTGTCTTAAGGAAAAGAGACAACCTTTTACAAAAGAAAACTAGTCTATTCCTTTGACACTAAGACAACCTGTAGAAATGGGAACATCACTCGATTGAAAAAGGTTGCCTAGGTACCTTTATAATTAGAAAAAGACTCCATTGCAATCATAAAATCTTAGAGCTTGAAATGAGCAGAGAACACTTATCACAACCCCCTCATTTTACATATGAAGAAACAGAAGCCCAAGATCACTGAGCAAATAGATGCACTGATATTTTAGAATGTTTTCTTTCATACAACCTATTAAAACTGGTACTATATCCTTTGTTTGTTCAAAGCCTAAATTCACAAGTCATTCCTTATGTGTAGACATTAATAATTAACAAGTTGCTTTTCAGTTGGAATGCTGTTTTACTGTTTTCTTTAAATATTTAGCATGCCATATTGTATAATGTCAACAAACAAACATCTGTAAGGCTCAAAACAAGACATCAGATTCACAGATTCAAAAGTATGGCACAAAGATGCTAGATATATCACAGGATTTTTTAAAAACATTAAAAATATTTCATACAAAAAAAGTGAACTCATGGGTGTCAAATGCCTCATTTATATTTCATGTACATGAGTCATTTAAATAGGACCATAAAAATCAAGGGAAAACCACTGCATAAAACTCCCTCTTTAATAATTAGCTCTATGTTCCACTAGCAAATATCTGGGCGTTGCTTCTTTTTAAGGTATAAAATGTCCTTGCAAGAAGAATCCCATTTCATATTCACAGTACAACTGGAATTACATTCACATTGGTCACAGTGGCTGCTCTGAGCCAGGTTTTCTAAAATGAGGTAGGTAAAAAATTCAGGAGTTTCAGATGGCTAGAACACATTTGTTTTATATCTGCTCTTCTTCAAAATGGTATTTAAAATGTTAACCATGTGGTTAAAAAAAACTTAATGAAGACCTTGCCTAAAAAAAAGAATAAACACTATTTCAAAAAAGGCAGACCATTATAAAATACGGATTCTCCTCTTCATTTAAGAACAAAATACAATTGAATTGTCAACCTGTCACACCTCACAGGGCCAGATGACATGGACTGACCCCAAAACGTTTACACCATGTCACTGATTTTGGCCTAGGAGTATGGCATATAGGGTACCAACAAACATTGAGTTATTCAGTTAAGGGACTAGACCAGCTGTTGCCCTTTTTAACCTTTCACCCTTAGTACCCAGGGGCAGTTATAAATGCGAACTGAATTTTTTGAATGATTAGTGAATTCTCTGAGGATCTGACACTCGCAGGAGATTCAGGCATGAATTGATGGCCTCCCCCAGCACCCTATGGAGGCCTAGATTGGGGGTTTGGGTGGAAGAAGGTGAGACTGAGCAGTGGGGACCAGGTATGGATGACATGGGGTGGCAGGCCGGGCAGTGGTGGCCAGACCTGCGACTGTGACACAACGCAGGGCTAATGGCTCTGGAAGAGCTCAGTGCCCGGCCGGCGCTTGGACCCCGCGATGGAGGCCTGGGTGGAAGCAGAAGGGAAGGCCGGGAGGACCGGTCTGGCCTTGGCCTTCTTTCGGGGCACCATGGGGGAGGCCCCCAGGAACTTACTGAAGGAGCCGGACTTCCTGATGCCGCGGGCCAGGTCCTGCAGCATCAGGTCGTCGGCCAGCACGCCCAGGAAGGCGCTGGTGGTGGAGCTGAGGATGGAGGCGGCCACCTGCACTGGCCGCTTGGCGCGGCCGTCGTGCTCGGCCGGGCCGCGGAGGGCGGGGTCGCCTAGCAACAGACGCAGCGCGTACGAGGCGCCGGGCCGCAGGTACTGGTAGGCGCGCCGCCCGCTATGGTCCCGGACCAGCACCTGCGCGCCGAGGCGCTCCACCAGCAGGATGGCCGCGTCCTCGTGCCCGTGCAGGGCCGCCAGGTGCAAGGGGGTGTAGCCGCCATGCGAGCGGGCGTTCACGTCGACGGGCGCCCCCCCGCGGCGCGCCACTTCCACCAGCTGCAGCACCATCTCGCGGTCGCCGCTCTTGGCGGCCCAGTGCAGGGCCGTGAATCCGGACATGAAGTCGCGCTTGGCCGCCAGGCTCTGGTCCCGCAGCAGCAGTCCGTGAAGCTGGTGAGTCCAGCGGCCGCCGGCCACTCTCACCAGCCACTCGTGCTCGGCTGGCTCCAAGGGCACGGTGGGCGGCGGCTGGGGGACGGCGGAAGGCAGCTCCTCGACCTCGGGGCTTAGCAGGCGCGGGCCGGCCCGGGACAGGCGCCGGAGGTGAGGGGACCGGCCGCCCCCGAGTGCGAGACCCAGGCCCGGCTCCTCCACCGAGAGCCGCCGACGCAGCCGCGGGGAGTCCCCGGGCACGAGCAGCAGGGACGAAGCTGCCACCGCCGGCTCTTCCGACAGCTGCCGCCGCAGGCCCTGCTCCTCAGTCCGGACGCGGACCACCGACGGGACGCAGCGGACAGGCAGCATGCAGGGCTTCCGCGCCTGGAGCGGGGCCAGCTCTCCGGGCGCCGCCGGGGTCTGTGGAGGGGCCGCGGGCGTGTGCCCGGACGGCAGGGCTGGAGTTGCGGTGGGGGCGGCGGCAGCGGCTCCTTCTTCCAGGTCTGGGGACGGGGGCAGCTCCAGCGACGGCGGGGTCGGGGGCAGCTCCAGCGACGGCGGGGTCGGGGGCAGCTCCAGCGACGGCGGGGACGGAGACGCGTGCTCCTGGGCAGCGGCTGGATCGGAGGACGCTTGCAGTGGCGGCTCAGCCAGAGGGTCCGCTGCCGGCTCCTGGGCCGTGGAGGTCGGCGGGTCCCGGGGGAGCTGGTCCCCAGCGGCTTCGGGCGGCGTCGGGGGCGCGGGCGGTGGGGCGCAGGAGATGCGCGGCTTCTTGCGCAGCACCACGAACTTGACCCCGTCCAGCTCTTTGACCACCGCCACGTCGTTGACGAATTGCTTGAAACATCTCCTGCGAGCAGCCCGGCCGCCGGGGTCCCCCGCGTCCAGCAGCGGCTTGAAGCGGCTCACGAGCTCCGAGTTGCGCACCTTGCCTCCGCACTCCTGCAGGAAGCCCAGCACGGCCGCTTGGCTCACTCCCGCTGCCGCAGCTGCCGCAGCAGCTGCCAGCGCCATCCCTGCGGGCTTCGGAGCGTCCGGACCCTGGCCTGGCCTGGGTAGCTCCCCCGGAGGCGCCTCCTGCAGCGGGCCCCTCCCCCGGCTCTCCTGGAGCCCGCTTCCCACCTGTCGGCCCTGGCTGGCAGCTCCTTCCTCGGGGCGCTGTTCCCAGTCTCTGGCAGGTGGGCGCTGCCAGGGGAGGGTGTCTGTCCGGGGGGGGGGGAGGATCCACAGCAGAGGGATCTGGGAGTTGTAGTCTGGGCAGGCTCAGGCTTACCTGAGTTTTAACCTTTGCAGTGTCCCCTCCGACTCCCTTCCGAGGGCGCTTACACCTGTCCTAGCTAGACCTAGGGAACCTTGCTCCTCCGAGATTTTCTCCTGATTTTTTGGTTGGCCTAACCAATTAGAGCTGTTTACCATTCCAGTGGGCGCTGAAGCTGTGCCTACTGTTGACAGTTTATACAGCTTGAGCTGTGAATTGGAAATACCTGACTTCTGTCTTTCCACCTCCTTGGGAATTCAGAGACATCTTAATACCTACTCCCCCTAACTCCCCTCTTGTGGTCGGTTGCTATTCCCCAGGGAAGTTCAATAACTTTAAAGTGCCAAATGTCTTTCTTGCCTCATTTCTTATTCATTTGAAAAATTAAAAATGAATATGTGATGCTTCGTGCTGCCTGTAAGGTAATACATCTGCATTTTGTTTATGTACTTCAGAATATTCGGACTTGATTGAGGTAGTCTGTTAAAATATCAGGTAACAGTAGAGATTTTATGTTAGCTTTAAAACAATTCATTTTTAGTTATTGTCAATGCACATTCTCAGGAGCCCATGTATATATTATTAAAAGAACTCTGAAGTATATCACCTAACAACTATCAAATCGCCTAAGATAATGAAAGATTTTTTAAAATTCAGCGTTGGGAGCTATAGCAAAAATCAGGAGCAATAATTCACTATTGGTAAAGCTGTAAGGCGATCAGACTGTTTTGGAAAGCAATGTGGAATTATATAATAAGTTTTTAAAATTTCTCATATTCTGTGACTCAGCAATTCCTCTATTAGATTTATATTGTAAAGGGGTTATTGAAGAAAGAAAAAAAACCTGTTTGTACAAAGTAGTACTATGTAAATAGTTTTTAAAAATTAGAAACAAACTATATTCCTGGAGGGGAAAACTGGTATGTGAATGTAAAGAGAGGACCCTGAGTAGCATAGATGACTCAGCCTCGGAGTCTGAAAGACTTGAGTTAGGTCCATACTAGCTGGGTGATCTTTGGCAAATAACTGCATCTCTTCTTAGTACCCCAGGCCACTTTATGAGATTCTAAATTACAGAATAGCAGGTGATTTACATCAGTGGAGAAAGTTTCCATACCAGGGAGTTCACTTCACTGGAAAAAAAAATCCTAGGTTTAGTCTCTTCCTACTACCATTAATTTAATGAAATATTATATAATAAACAATTGTGCAGAATTATTTTTTAAAATATGTATTTAGAAATTTTTTAATTTTAAAATTTTATTTATTTTATGTATTTTATCTTTCCCCTAATTACATGTTAAAACAATTTTAAAACATTAAAAAAAAGTTTTGAGTTCCAAATTCCATCCCTCCCTCCCTTTATCCCTCCCCTCACCCTTCTCTGAGACTGTAAGTAGTTAGATATAGGTTATATATGTGCAGTTATGTAAAACATTTCTATATTAGTCATTTTATATGGGAAGACTCAAAAAAAATGAAAGTGAAAAATAGCATGCTTCAATATATATTTAATCAATATCAGTTCTTTCTCAGGAGGTGGATAGTATGCTTTATCATTAGTCCTTTGGGATTGTCTTGGATCATGGTATTGCTGAGAATAGCTAAGTCATTCACAGTTCTTCATCAAATAATATTGCTGTTACTGTGTACAACATTATCCTAGTTCTGTTCACTTCACTGTGCATCAATTTGTGTCAGTCTTTTCAGGTTTTTCTGAAATCATCCTGCTTGTTGTCATTTCTTTTACAGCACAATAATATTCCATTACAATCACAACCACAGCTTGTTTAGCCATTCCCCAATTGATGGGTATCCCTTTGATTTATAATTCTTAGCCACCACAAAAAGAGCTGCTATAAATATTTTTGTACATATAGGTAGGTCCTTTTCCCTTTTTTGCATGTCTTTAGGATATAGACCTAGCAGTGGTATTGCTGAATCAGTGGGTATGTACAGTTTTGTAGCCCTTTGGGCATGGTTCCAGATTGCTCTCCACAGTGGTTGGATCAGTTCACAACTCCACCAGCAGTGCATTAGTGTCCCAGTTTTCCCATGTCCCCTCCAACATCCCACACTTCTTTGTCATATTAGCCAATCTGGTAGGTGGGAGGTGATACAAGAATTATTTTTAAAAGGAAAACTTTTGAAATAATTTAGTGATGAAAGCAGATCCATGAGATCTCTCTCTCTCTCTCTCTCTCTCTCTCTCTCTCTCTCTCTCTCTCTCTCTCTCTCTCTCTCTCTCTCTCTCTCCTCTCCCTCTCTCCCTCTCTCCCTCTCTCTCTCTCCCTTCCTCCCTCCCTCTCTCTCTCCCTTCCTCCCTCCCTCCCTCTTTCCCTTCCCCTCCCTCCCTCCCTTCCCCTCCCTCCCTCCCTCCCTCTCTCCCTCTCCCTCTCCCTCTCCCCATCTAAAACAGTATAAAGACATTAGTCCGCAATACAACAATGCAGTGGACTGTTCTCTACTACATCATCATCATTATTAATAGTAACAACATACATAACTCTACTGTAAGTATATGTTCAATGTACAATCATTCAGTCACTTTTGTGTAATTTTGCTTAACTTTTCAGGGATTTTAAAAAATTTGTTTTGATAAAAAAAAAGTCTCCATTAAAGAAAAGCCTGTGATTCCATCCTGTGGGTATGCTTCTTTTACCAATGCATATAACAACTCTCTCACAACATTAGTAGTTTTCTATGATGCTGAGGCCAAAAGCATCCACCCCTAATGAACCTTTGCCAACATTTAGGCTGGTTCTTGGGCTTGTTTTGGTGTTTTAAAAAAATCTCATTGGAGGTAAACTGCATTGTTCTTTTGGTGTTACTGAGGATAAAGAAGAAAATGTACCTTTGAAGAGAAAGAGAATTACCAGGATTAATGTACCATGTACTAATAAGCAGCCTAGATTAGGATGGTACTAGTAGTATTTGGTAGTTAATTTTGTTTAATAGTGACAGCACTATATCATTTGTAGATAATCATAAACATTTATTTTTAAACCCTACCCCTCCTGCAAGAGCCAGCTCAGATCGTTCATCTCTGTTAACTCTTCCCCAGTTATTTTTGGTAATTTCTCCCCCATTTGAACTTATATAGCTTATAGGTAGGTCATAGAATGTAGAACTGGAATTCACTTCAGCAAACTTTTATTAAATTCCTATTGGGGTGGAGCCAAGATGGCCCTGCCATCTTGAAGCAATACAGCTTATCCCCCCAACCCCAAAAACAAAAACCTCTCCAAAGAGATCTAGAAAATGCACCAGGCCTAATCCTGATGGTGAAATCCAGCAAATGAGTCATTTGTCCACCCCAGGTCAGCATAGGCAGACAGACAGATATCTGCAGACACTGGGGACTGGATTATTGTTGCCTGGGTGCCAGCACCCAGAGAAAAGCTGTGCACCACAGCAAGATAAAGTCGTGGAATACCGGGGTACCCTCAGACTCAGACCAGGACACTACACTGGCAGCTTTGTTACTGACTACCCAGGGGCAACTAGGTGGTGCAGTGGATAGAGCACTGGCCCTGGAGTCAGCGGACCTGAGTTTAATCTGGCCTCAGACACATAACACTGACTAGCTGTGTGACTCTGGGAAAGTCACTTAACCCTAATTGCCTCACAAAAAAAAAATTAAGAATTATCCACTACCCAGGGCAAGTGAGAAGGGGACCTGTGCACAGGGTATCATTCCCAGGGAAACCCTGCACTGTGTATCAAGAAAAGAAGTTCAAAAGCAAGCAGCAGCAGTGTGTCTCACAACCCAGGAGTGGGGTGGAGCTCAGTGCCAGAAGAATAACTGAGTCAGGAATCCCAGACCAAAGGAGAACCTACAGTTGTGTCACTCTAAATCAGCAGAAGTATCTAGCTGGCTTATAGTGACCGAGTCCGACTTCAGTCTACTGTTGTTGAGACCCAAACCCCAAAGTCAGGAATTTGCAGAACTCAAACGGGGGGGGGGGGTAGCAATCAAACTTTGCCCTGGATTAGATTACTTTGGGACCATTGAAGCTTGCAGGTCCCTAACCTGTTCTTGAGATCCTGGAATTAACACAACATTCTATATCCGAAGAAAGCAGAAACAGCACCAGCCTAGATCTTTTCTCTAGAGGTATGACAGAGCCCAGCCCTAACATCACATCTGAAGTCAGGAAATAGTCTGGAAGAGTAAAAAGAAAAAAAGAACCCCACCATAAAGAGCTATTAAGGTGGCAGGAAAGCTTAAGACACAAAGTCAGAATGAAAGAATGACTCTAAAATATCTACAAGCAAATCCTCATAGGAAAACACAGTTTGGGCACAAATCCAACAGGAATTCCTGAAAAAGATGAAGCAATGCCTTCTCAGTGAGGGGATGAGGGGTGGGGAGAGAGAGAGAATTTGGAACTCAAAAGTTTTAGAAATGAATATTAAAAATTGTTTTTATGTGTAACTAGGGGAAAAATAAAATACCAAATAAAAACTAAAAAAAAAAGATGAAACAAGAGTTTTTAACAGTTAAATTTTTTAGATAGATGAGATGAGAGCACTTAAAAATGGAAAAGAAATGAGAGCCATGGAAGAAAGAATTGGAAGAGAATTAACAGCTTGGCACAAGAGATACAAAACTCTGCCCAAGCAACAAACTTTCTGAAAATTCAAATGGATCAAACAGAAGCCAATGATTCCATGAGGCAACAAGAAATATGTTTTTTAAAGAATAAAACATTTCAGAAGACTGAAAATATCTAAGAAAATGTAAGGTATCTCATAACAAAAACAAATGACCTGGAAAACAAATTGAGGAGAAAATAATTTTAAAATCATTGGACAATCTGAATTCCATGACCAAAGAAA